GTGTGCTCTTCCGATCTATACATCTGGCTTTTCCTTTGCAGGTGCTTCCAATGTGACCAAATTTAAAGCAGTTATAGCATATTAGCACCCTGGGAATATATGGGACAACTGGCAAGTAAATTTTGAATAGAGAGACCGTGCGGGGAAGAGCTTGACCTTCGAATTTCAAGAGGACTGTACGTGAAGGAAGAAAACGAATTTCTCCATTTTCTTTAATTTTACGGTTCATGCGGCTGGCAGATAAAATCTTAACGGAAGATTCAAAAGCTGTCACTAAATCTCGAACACTGAGGTCAAGGGGTATATCCTTCACTATTCCCGTTCGCATAACTCGAAACGACGGTATGAGGGCCTTTAAGTTTTTCTCCTTTAATTTAGGATGAGCTATCACACTGTTAGCAGCTTTTGCACTGAAAAATTCTACAAGTATCTTACCTCGACCGATTTTCTTTACTGATTTTATGTGCCTGGCCAACTACGGTGTTAATGAGGCGGCTAACCATTATAGGATGCATTGAATCAGCACCTGAGTCTGCCTGATATTGCACGTGGACAATAAAAGGACCCGAATCCGTGAGCGAATATTTGTTAACTATCTTTTTTTTCCGGGGCAGAATCGGATTATTGTTGTTAGGTAGGTCATTACTATGCGGTTTTAAGGATTGTTTGTTGCGTGTTACACACGTGATCAACTGCTGGATTCTGATTGGATGCCCTTTGTTGACTGCACGATCGTGCTCGCGTGGCGCGATCAAGCGAAACATGACGTGATACCTTTTTAGCTTGGCTCTGTCGAGGGATTTCTGCATGCTGGGACTCCCCTGGTGTATCGAAGGCTGTCGAGGCTGCGCGTTTATTATGAGCTTCGCTCAGAGATTCCATGGACATGATGGACGTGTCTGATGCTGACGAGCGCGAGCACAGGGAGAATGACGCAATCGGCAAACATGCATCTTTAGAACAGGCCGCAGCTTTTTTCTTGTCCTTTTTTTTACTACGCTTATTTTTCTGAGGCATGTCGCCCGGGGAGTACTCACAATTGTCCTTAAGAAATTCGAACCGGTTGCGGGTAGCTAAGCTGTCGTCGATCTTTCTAACAGGGAAGCGCGATCTCTCACGCGAGCATGGCCGCGCGCGAGAACACGAGCGCGAAGGGGAAGAGGGAGAATGGCTAGCACGCGAACGAGATCGCGTAACGTACACTGGGCTTCTAAAAAAAACTATCACTATGTTTAGACCAAGACTGTAG